TACGATAAGTGCGGGCTAAATAATTTAGACACATTGAGAATTTGACTATGCTGTGAACTGCACGTAAAGAATACAAAAAGTAATTCTCGCATAAATGCGAAATACCCAAAAGATACCCTTTCTTTGAGTATAAAATTTAAAGAAGACGTAATTTGCTATCAAACATGCACACGAAATAATTTGTTTGTCGATGTTTTCCATAAAATATATTTGAACTTATAAAGAGTACAAGAAATAATTTTTTCGTGCGTTTTCCATAAAATATATTTGAATTTTTAAAGACAGTCAAAATAAATGATAAAGCAAAAATCTTTCGTTCGCGCTTTCCATAAAATATATATGTATTTATAAAGGCAGTCAAAATAAATAAGAACAAGGCATACTATTTAAGTAGCCGGTTTTTAGAATAGATACGTTTTGCTAGTGGTCAGATTGAAGCTCATTAAAAAGCCCGCAACCTATAATGACTGAAAGGACTTCAGAATAGACTGCATGATAATCAGTATTACAACCTAAATCAATGCCGATTAGCGTAAGAGTATTAATCTTTAGCATATGTTGCGTGATTTTCGGCGACTACTGCACATACTACCTTTACAAGGCTTCTTGATTTGAAAGGAGTTGAAGTTGAATGGTAAGAAGACGCGCGCACCTTTCGAACGTTTATTAAAATATTCGGCAAAAAGATATGCAAAAGATATTTTTTCAATTTTGTAAGTTAGTAAGGCCCTTTGATGCTGCAGGGAATTGTGATGTGAAACATTTAGAAAATACCCAGCAATAAAAATTGCGTCCAGTTTTTTTATCTGCACTCCTATTTGATCCTCCAAGCAGGCCATGGGAAATGTGATTTATCCGTCTCGATGTAATGCATTCAACCAAGGCAGCATGTTTATAGTTTCAATTTCGCAATTTCGATAGAAAATAACTTTAACTCGGTGAATCTATTGACGTCCAGAGGTTTCTGCTTTTGGGGAGGGCACTTGCTTCCCAGTTATGAAAGCGGCCGAGTGAACCAAGGGAAGATGGGCTTCGAAATTGAACAAGAATTCATTAAGAGCGATGTTTGGAGGGCAAAAGCATGTGAAAATTTGTGCTGTCCTACAATGGAACTGGACGAAAGGTGGGGGCGTGGTGTTACGTCCATGACTGGACCGGTATCCGCGTGCACGCAAAGTCGAATGCATGATCTTGTACCAGTGTGAGGGTGGCGACTCGGCGCGAGCCGGCGACGATACGGGGCACTAACTGTCAGAGAAAGGGGTTTCAAGCGGGCACCAGAAGAGTCAGTCTAATACGCTTCTTGTTAAGTAATCTCCTTCTTAACTGCTTTCTGGAATTTGCCTGTTTGCTCCTATTAATATCATCTACATCCATAGACATATTAACTTACCATTTTGTTATCGCGCGCACTATGCCCACGCAGCCAAAAGGATTGCCCACGGTCCACTGGAAGTCTGAAGAATCTAGCATTTGGTTTATATTGACCATCATGAAGACCTGGAGCTATAGCGTCTAGCACTAAAAATAGCTTTCATTCATTTTTTATTATATGCTCTGATAACTCAGACTCCAATACCATCCGCAGTTAATGGTGTTAAGGGAAAAATTCGCGACGTTCCTTGACAACACATCTCCATATTCACATGATTTACTAATACAACTAACTTTTAGACCAAGTTCAGGTGTGCATGTTAAGAAACGCATGCTTTGAAACGCAACGCAAAGTGAAGACGGTTAACTAGGACAGTCGGCTCCCATTGGCGTTGAATACCAATCAAAACTTCTCCCAGTACCGTACAATTTAAATCCGTGCGAAGTCGCCCTCCCATTGTATAGTTCACGATTCACGGGACGTAGGCAACTACCACCTTGACGCCCTGATTCACAGCACAGCCGTGCAGATTAAAAATTACTGGAAGCTAAACACGGCTATCTGGCGTCGGTAGCATCGAGATTAATGTACATCCTTAAGCAATAACACGAATATAAGAAGATTAGACGACCAGGAGGTGTGATGATAAGTTATCGAATATTTGCGTCTTATGTGATGGCCTTCTTTCATTACGTTGCTTTGAATAGTAACCGTATAGCTTCTGGGGAATTCATACTGAATAAAGATATTCAAAAATCGAGTATTTAAGCGTTGGCTCTCACGATAAAAACGGAGGACGCCTCGGCTGTATACCTGTGACTGTAGCGCAGCCTGTAAGAAGTATATGTACACAACTTTTAATTTGATAAAATCTTCAAATATTAACGTAGCTCTCAAATGCATTTTACTGTTTGGTGAATAGCATAAGCATTAACATAAAACAATAGTTAAACATCCGCAAACATATTCGTTAAACTTATTAATCTCAAATGATAAAGTACAATGGCTTGAAGCAGTTGCACGTTCTTTAATTTGCTCATCTTTTTCTATTAAAGTAACGCCTGCTAATATGCTATTTAAGGATTGTCTATACAAACAACCAAAAGTGTATTTTCATTTGGAAGGTGTTTTAAAAACGACACACTGCCAACCGTTCATCTCTCCACAACACTACTTTCTTTTGTGCAGTTCAATGACATCGAGGCTTCATTTCGCCGTGCATTAGTTTGATTGTGCAATCTATTTTCTTAATATTATCATCCATAACCTGCACAGGCCTAATGTGTAACTAAGACACATCTCTGCTTCCTATGAGCGACGTTGCAACACTCAAATACCGCATACAAAGCTAAAGTCCCCTTCTGGAACTTTTCCTTTGCGGTCATTTAATCTATTTATTTTTTTCAAAGTTCCCTATTATTCGGCGATATTTATGATTTCCTCATTGCTATCTATAACTACAAAGCTTTATAAATAAAAACCTTTTTTTCCATCTATTTTTATACTTATACTTATCCTGTTGTAAAGTGCGACAAGGATGAAATCACGCACTGTGGGGCAGCCATTTTAAGAAAGGCTGAGTTGCCTCTTAAAATATTTCTGTCGCACCGCAAAATTGTATGTTTTACTTTTCACGGACAGGAATGATTGCGACTATTTGCTTTCCGTAGGGTCCAAAATATGTATTTAAGGATTCGATTTACATATTGAATCTATAACTGATGCGCGCCACCATTATGACTCCAATAAATGCATCGACTTTGATACAGGCTACGGTAGGTTGCTCTACGTTTGGCAAACTCTGTCAAATTGTCTGCATTTATATTTAACAGGTAATATTACGGACGCGGATTCGGCCAGTAATTTTCTTCGAAGTTCTAGCTACCAGGAGATGAGCCGAATCTCGGCAGATTCATCGCAGCAGTTGAACCCTTTCTCTACCCAAGAATCCCTGGAGCATTTGCTGCTTCACAACTCTGGCAGACTTAACCGGGTTCGTGATATTCTCTCCCTTTTAACCCGTAGGTAGCCAAGGTATTATAGCACAAATAATAATCAAGACTTCTGAATTGATGCAGTCTAACGAAAAGTGTGTTTTCAATTCCGATGCTTAACGCCAAGCTATTGGTTATTAAGCTGGCATAATGTGGCACTTCTGTTTTGACATAAACAGTTGAATTAAATAACTTGCAAACAATCATTAAACAAAGACGTATGGAACATCACTTGCCTTGCCACTATCGGACGAGCATGCAAATGCATGAATATAGCACTTACATTTTTTTACTATTTTTGGCGCCATATCTTTGTGACCAACAGACGCAGGGTCTAATCGCAGGTTTCAGATCTAATTTGGTAGGATGTTGAACCCGGAAACCCACCTTGGCTACAGTTACAGATGGTAGCGTAGTTCATGAACTACCAATCCGCTTTCAAAACGCTTTGCAGTGTAACTTTCACTAATCACCTCCCGAACGATTTACCGCCTTCTTGAATGAATCGTATTTAAAGTACAGTAGAGTCCATCTGAGAATTAATTCGTTTGATTAATAATCATTGGAAGAGTGAGGATAATATCACTGGCTGACGACGGCTAATGAGCCAGAACTGGCCATCCTAGTGTCCAATATCTTTGTCAGTAATGTCCTTCTGCTTACAGTTTTATGTATCGAGGGCTAAGACTGACAATATAATTGAAAATAATATGATGAAAAAACAACTATAATTATCAAAACTAAGTTCACTTTCCTTTTTGCTCAGAGGTCAAAACATTGACGTCATTGGCGGACTGCAATTTGCAAACACTGAGTGCAAAAACTAGTTTATACCGCAATGTAGTTGCCTCTTGGCTTGTTATACTTTGTTCAATTTGAAGTGAAAATATTTTCGTTCGATCAGAGCCTGCATTATTTTCATTCATAAAACATTTTGAAGATGATTAGTGCAACGGCTTTGGTCAAAATGTAAATTATAGTGGCAATGTTAATTAGGATAAAACTATTTAGCAGCAATACAGCAATGGCATCATAGCATTATGACGCCAATAAACCGTCTGCAACTGCCGCTGTTGACCACAAGATTAAAATTTTACCACATGCGAAGGTCATCGTTCTTAGAACCTACTTAATTGTATTCGTTAGAACGTATGTTTACCACCAGCTGTCTTATAGGCAAAAATCTTGGCCGTTGACACATGTTTAACTAAAAATACTGTCTAATAAATAACTTTTTTCTGAGGATAGTTCCCATTGTTAGTGTGCTTGTCAGACAAGGCAATGTGTTATTGTGCAAATAGAAACCCACCTTCTTCATTTCTCTTTAATTGGGCTGCGGGAAAAAGAAAAAACGTTTGTGAAGAAGCTTACATAAGCCATTTTGGTTTTTATCGACTAAACGTCTCGGCTTACTTGCATTCATAGCAGCCCGCTAAAAACTGATTATTTTTAGTCTGTTCTATATTTATTCATTTGCTGTAGGTGACTATACTAATTTGGGGAAGGGTTATGCTGCAGCCCTTCAAAGGTACATTTCGGTATTCGGTCAAAGCTAACGGTTGACAATTATTGCTTAGATAATCTAATCATAAGTTATGCTTCACAAAAGTATTAGCCCGCCACGGGTTATGCCTACATCTTACGCAAATGGCGTAATTCCCAAGTTCAGTGAGCAAGCCACTATCAAAAAATTTCACTTTGTTTACAGCAAGAATCTTCTATAATTGTAAATCGAAACTTTCAACACTGAATTTATTTTTGTTTCCTCCACATGGAGTGAATTCCAAGCGTGACGTTATGCCTTTTCACGAATAGAGCTTTGATTTGCCAGTTTTTCACATTATACTGTGCTCTTTTTCTAGTTTGTGTTGCCTTTACAAGACAGCTTGATGGGCAGAGTTTAATTTATCTGTATGGTTTAACTGTACCACTTCTAACGAAGTTTTGCACATGCGCTCTATATGTAAATAGAGTTTGCAGTGAACTATGCTGTATGTGTATGCTCCGGTGTGAAAATAAATAATTTTCTGTGTAAGTTTCATTCTTATTTGTTGCACTTAGATATGGGCGACCTCCTAAACGTTGACCTTCAAAAATATTTTTGCCGTTTGCTCTTGCTGACCACATGGCAATACTTTAATCTTCTTAATTTATGGCAAATGCTTATCCAAAAGCGTCACCAAGACGAATTTGATACCCGCCCTCGATTACTTTCTATTAGAATTTCTTGTTTCACAAGTGAAAACTATCCAGCAAGGTAGTTTCATTTACAATTTCAATAAGACGACGAGTTAAGGGAAAATAGGTGGGTACAAAGTATCCTTAATTACACATAATGACAGCTGTAAGGAAGGAAATATTCCCGAACTATCCATCAGGCATATACCCGGCCCTTGGTCCGCTCAGTGAATATGCTGAAGTGCGCAGGAAACGTTAGGTAATTTACTGTGTCACTGATTGCAGTATCGAGCATTCTAAAATGCAGCATACGGCACCTAACTAAAGCTTAAATTGCTTACATTTAAACTTGCTAATGACGCTTTTTATGGTGAGCTAAGTAAAAGTAGTCGGATATTTAAGCGTTTGGTTGGTAGGTTTTTATAAATCACCGTGGGATGTTGGATATTTTTGAAATGCTAAATCCGGTGTAATGGAAAATATTCACCTGAATCTATGGTGTATTTTGCCAAAAAGCAAACTAGTTTTTTTAAAGTCATTAATACACATCATGGTGTGATGTAGACAAACGGGAGTCTGATACAATGCTTCAGAGTCGGCTTACTGAACTTGCTCGACGTAGGCGATACAAAATATCCCGATACTCAGCAAACAGACTGTATATAAACTATGTTATTAAATTCTCATTTTTCAGCTAAAAACCTCCATAAATCGAGCATTCGGCAGAAGCAAAAGTCGTGATCCATGTGATCAAGCTAAAAACAAACACAATATAACTTCTTCTCAGCACAGGTATGTTGGTTTTATTTTTACTAATATTGCATATTATTTGTATCTTTGAACCATATCGCGTCTATTTATATGCACTTTATATAATGATAGTTTGTTTTCTGCTTTGTTATATTAAATCTTGAACCTTTATTGTTCCCACCAGCCGAATTTTCGGAACAATTTTCCAAAGGAAATCGGACTTAAAATGTGAATATTAAAACTTGAAGCTAATGATGACTCGATCGGGTCGTCCTCTTCTCAATTACTTCCTGGGAGTCGCATGTTCTTTTGTATTGACAACTTACGATCTCCTAAGTATATTACTTATCTGTATGGCAAAGAACATATCATCGTTGCAAAACAGCATTTTCTAAACTGAATCTGCCATTCCTTTCCCGAAAATAGTGCGTTATCTTATACTTGCACTTACCTCAATTTCATGAACTCAAAACAAGATTTTATGTTCTCTAGACAAATATAATTAAAACATTTCTGGTATTCAGTGATGTTCTTTTATAGCACAACATGCTAGATTAAGACGGTTTGGTCCGCAGCGTTTAATAGCGTACAAAATTCTTTGGATATCAAGAGACCTTGGATTAGGACAGCGTTGACCGACTATGCCCCGCAATATCTTGAGCTAAACTGAACGCTTTTCTAGTAAACAGCATTTTTCGCCTTAAGTCTATTCAGTGAATAAAATAAACAACCTCAAATGTGTGTTAAACTACTCTCTTCAGTTTTGGCACTCATAACCCCTTAGTAAGTACATCTACTGTGCATCAGTACCATTTACTTTTACCCATCGAGTGACGCTGACGGCCACAACAGTCGTCAGTCGCCATCCAGCTCCAGCGCCGAATCACCCTCCACGACTTGCCCCAACGTCGGTTTTGATGGGCAGTCAGTCAGTTCCGATGACCTGTCGAATCTGCAGAACCAGCTGGCTGACAAGGATCTGCGACTGACGGACGCTCAATTGGAGTCACTTTCGCGGTTCCACCAGTTGCAACAAATGCAGACTCTGCTGACCAGCCTTCAAAGTGAAATTTCGTTGCTTCGCGAGGAAAATGAGCAATTGCACCAGACCGTTGATCGGTGTTCGCAGAGTGGCGGATCAGAGAGTTTGGGCGCCAGTATCTTCGCCCCGCGCATTCATAGTACGGAGCTGTTAAAGAGTGAGTGTATAGCATCCTGAGGTTGCCTTTATATATAAAGATGGAAGACAGCACATTTTGATTCAAACAAATCTTCTTGCTGATTTGAGGTTTTATATTAAATACGTAAAGTTTTCTAACACACGACAACCAATTTCTGGCAGAAAAGTTAAGTGATCATATATTTCCCTATCTTAAATTCGCATCTGAAATCTTGATTTGGTTTTCAATGTTTTCACCTCCAGGGGCATTCTTTTTTAAGCAACAACTCTAGAGTTCCAAATAAATTTCGGTTAAACTACTGAAACGATTAGCAAGACTACTTTAGATCACATTTTATGGTTGGTTGAGATCATTGTAGCATAGATTAGGGGAGATTGTCGAGTACTCAGATTAGTTTTGTTTGGTACATTCACTAAAGTTTCGTGGGTTTTGTGTATTTTTAGTTAAATTTGCTCTGAACTCGAGCAATAAATGGGGTTCGATTGAAACAGTCTATTGCGGTCGTAAAAAAAAAGATAAATAAATGTTATTAATGAAACAAAGAGTATCCTTATGTATTAAACAGTACTTAGGTGTGACATTAGCCACATTAGTGCGGAGAAATTAAAACTTTATGATGTTATTTGTGGCTACCTTCTACTAAACGCAGTTGTTGACTTTTCGCTCCGTATTATGGAATTTTTTATTCCAATTACAGCCTTTTATGTTAACTGAATGTCACCCTGTGGCTTCAGCTACCGCTGCATTTAGTCCATCCATTTGCCAGCTAAAATAAAATATTCCGAAGTGCTTTGCCGAAATTTTAAAAGAAAACTTGCTTTTTCAACTTACTGCTTTCACTAGCTACTGCAATTGCCGTATCTTTCTCCTCTTAAATGGGGCATGGGGCGACGCTTTTCATCTCACCTTTAGGCATTTATTTTTATCGATCTGCTTAAGATTACCTGCAATTTGGTTTCTGTTTTCTTCTTTTTTGAATTTTACACAATTCACTGTTGTATTGGAATCGTTCATTCAAATATCTCGTTTGCAGAACTCTTTGTGTCAAAAAGTGCAAAGGGAAGCACCATACCGGTCTTTCTACAATTCACATCCTCTCCTGGATGCTTGGTGAACCAAAACCAAAGATCAAATGCTCAGACTTCGTATTTATCTACACCGCAGAGCTGTCAAGCTGACAGTCATTCGCCCAACCTAAGCGAGAGGTTGCCCGGCAGTTCAACACAGGATTCGAGATGCGCCATTCAAGGGCTCCCGGGTCTTCCGAAACTCCATCTTTTGGGACGAATAACTCTCAGTTCCAAGGGAAATCTGAAACTCTTGGAAGACCAAGTGAAAGCTTTATTCCAGGTTAGTCCGAAGATGACTGGGGTATTAAGACTTCTCACCCAGTAAGTGAATATATTCAGGTTGTGGCTGTGGTCCTGACATGCAATTAAAAGTACCATGGAATAAACCATCAACTGCACCCTCCCGCACTCATCACCTGGTTGGTACTATGTCTGTAGCTACTCTGCTCAAATTTTACCTTACTTGCCAGTTTGCTTGAATTATATTTTGCGATTAGTTGCTTAATTCCTTCTCTACACAAGCTCAGAAATCAGCCAGCTGTATTTGCGGTAGAGAATACTTAACTAGAGTTTCAGTCCATAACCTGAACGTATAGAATCGCAAATTAACTTACCTCGTGTCCGATGTGTTTTAGTTGTCCTTGCAGATGTCATGCGAAGGATTGTATGCTAAGATTATGTCAGTATTCGTTGCAGTAAAGTTCGCCTCTTTAGAAATAAGGAAGTATGTGAGTGCAGAAATGATCAGGGCATTACCAGTGGTCTTTAAACTTTCTGTTATCGGCGAAAAAGTTTGCAATTATCTTTTAAGGTTGTCTTGCATTTATGTGGTTCCTGCTGAATAGGTGCAAAACTGTAAAGCATTCATTATGACACTTACAAGCTAGGTGACTTGAGAATAATATCCACTCATCCCAGCGCTATTGGCGACGAATGTCTTTTAACCCACATTAACGGCACAGATTACATATGACTTTTCACCACGTCTTGCAACAACTTCGGAAAATTCGAATTAAAATTCCTTAAACGTATGCCTAGAGTTGTGCCCATATGACGATATCCTCACTCAAACTCCTTGATGAACCCTCAGCGACCGCTAGCGGAACCCGCTCCGCCTTCGCCTTGAGCCTCTGTAGCAGTTTGTAGTATAGACAGATAGTTAAGCCAGCAAAGACAAGGGGACTGTAATGGCTATTGCTGGCTCAAACTCGTCAAATCTTTTAATACATTTTGATTGCAAATTTTAGCAGCGAGAGACTTTTCTTAGTTTCTTCTCATCTCATAAAAATGTCTTCAGCGTTAAACCCAAGGTGAATCCCTCGACGAAAACAAACTGTTCAGGGCTTCTGCAGAGCCCTAATGACTAAGCGAATGAGTCTCAAATTATAGCAAGTATCAATAGTTCTGCGAATTGCCGCCGCTAAACAGACTATACGTCAACTAAAAGAAAACTCATATGAAAAGTAGAATGCCCATTAATACTGCCGGAATTACGACAAAAATGTCTCAAGACAAACTTAGGAAATTACTATCTGCTTATTTCAAGGACAACAGCCCGAATGCAGCTTTTTGCCAATACCAGTACGTAGAAGTTCAGTAACTGTTTAAGGTTATGCATAATCTAATCAGGCTTGCAACATTGTGTACATTTTCTTCAGTTGCAACTACTTTTTTTACTTACAATATTTAAGTAACGATTGTTTATGGAATTGCTTAATTGCTCCAACTAAGCGTATTTACCTATTGACATTGAACATTGCGATTATAGACAACTAAACGAGTGTGATTTGACTGAAATTATTTTCGAGTTTGTTCATTTTTTCACTCTTGAAAAACAACTAAGTAAACTTTAAGCAACGTGTTGGTGCACTAAGTGTCGATGGGTCATCTCTAGGGAACCC